CAGCACAGTCCACAGTCAACGACGCTTCTAACCCCACACCTCTCCCCATTTTTCTCTCGTCGGTGTAAAACAAAACGCGTCAATTCTCACTGCACGCGCATTGTCTCTGATTGTGATCGCACCTTCCTTGTATTTGCGGATACTTTACTATAAAGGCTACTGAATAAAAAAGGAAGAAGTTAATGCGTCATGATAGTTATCGAAAAATATATTTGGTAGAAACGACACTGATCTGTGACATACCTAGAGCATTGTGACTCTTCACTGGATTCATTTAATAGTGGATTTTAGAACTTTGAGGCTTAAATTAGCTGTTGGTTTTTCGCCATCTTTGCAACAAGAAGCGGTCGTTCGCATATTCGCTTGATTTCATTAAATATTATGGTAATTATTGTAATGAAGCAGAAGACTCGATCTCTGGAACGGTAATTTTATTCGTCTGAGCTTTCGACTCCACACGAGAAGCCATCGTCAGAGAAAGTGAGAAACAACAAGAGTTAGCTACGTGTAAATGGGGTTGATAAGGGGGGGGGGGTTAGCACTTGTGATTGGTCAATGCCCACGCCACTTCCATTCTCACGCCATCTTATCCTGTGTCGCCTACGCGCGCCCCTGGAGTTGTGGTGTGTGACCTTGACGTGACAGCCTGCATGTTTGTACGGGAACTGGGTCACGGTATCTGGTCGTGTCTCCTGCTTCTTTACAACAAGAACCTGAGGCACGCATATTTGCTTCTATTCATAGTAATTAGTGTTATTTATCTATTACATATTATGGCTATTTGTGGTCTGTTGCCTAACCACATCCAATTGTATTTATTCATCACCCGAGATTCGAACCCGCGACCTTTCGTCCTTTAGTCCACCACTCTAACATTGCGCTATATGCCCGTTGTATTTGGGACCCTCTGATCTGCTTAAGGGGTATGTACAGTAGCCGCCGAAGACCATGCAACGCTAAATACGAAATTTGGCTAGACATTATAGGATATATTTGAAAACACTATTGTGGTTCAT